CCCGTAAATCTGCTGTACCCGTCTTCGTAAATCCGCGAGTTAAACCCGTATATCTTTGGCATCGATCGCGGATCCCCCTTACTGCTGCTAAATTTTATGATTCTCTGTTCTGAAATATTCCTAAAAATCTAGTCATAAGTCTATAAAAGGCACGATAAAAGGCACCAGTAAAAGCAAATCAACACGTTTAGGCCAAGGTTACCAAAGCTTCAATGCTATTTCCGTTTCCGGTTGACTGAGCTATTCCTGTTCTTCCAGTTTTCCAAGTTTGAAGTGACATCATGTCACGCATGCATTTAAATAGCAAATGCGCTCTTCTGATTGGCTTAACAGCTGTCAATCATAACAAAACTTCTTGTTTAGAATAGAAAAAAGTTTCTGGTTCAAGATCCTGAAAAACACGAAATTTTTAGGCTTTGCTCATCAGTTTGTCCTCCATTTTGAAGTCGAAATCTGAACCGATGCAGCTAAAATCCTCACAACATGAAGTTCTCAGTCGTTGAAAGCGATGGTAGATTGCATGAGTTTGTATTTACGAAAGAGAAGCTCGGACAAGAGGTTTTAGATCGGGTAAGCTTCAATTCTTGGTGATTTTGGTCGGTTATTTTGCTGTCCTGAAAGGGCAGGCGTCTGACAAAGAAAATTCAACTGACTTTTCCGTTCCTTTCACTTTTTTCCCCAGGTTTGTGGTGAATTAGGGATAAAAGAAAAGAATTACTTCGGATTAAAACACACCGTAAACGATACTAGCGTTTGGTTGAACCTGAGAAATCCGGTTTTAACTCAACTCCGTCCACACTTACCAGGAAAACCCCACCGGCTTCGTCTAGAAGTAAAATTTTTCGTGGATCCTCGTGAACTACAGCAAGAAGAAACACGGTAAGCAAAGCCTTACTTTTCTAAAGATAAATCCGTATAAGACTTGTGGAAAATCTCAGTCTATTCCTACTGAAACCCGGGGATGATGAAATCGTTTTGAACGGCCCAATAAACTTTATTTATTTGACATAAACTTATTTTCCCTCTCAAATTGCAGGCGACATTTTTACCTTTGCCTAAAGACCCAAATAGCAGAAGGAAAATTCAACCTCACTCGAGAAAAAGCGGTAAAGCTATGTGCTTTAATGGCACAAGCAGAATATGGCGACTATGAAAGTCAAAAAAGACATAACCCAGAGTTTCTGTCGCCTTGGCCCCGGCACCAAATGGAAGAAGAAGTAGCCAAAGTTCATGCAAGTTTGAAGGGAACAGACTCTAAAACAGCCCGAGATAACTTCTTAAACGAAATGGCCAAGGAAGATTTATTTGATGCAGAAACATTTAAAGCTAAAGCCGGAGGAGAAAAAGTTTTGGTAGCAGTTGGCAGCTCAGGTCTGAAAGTCTACGAACGCAAACCTTATTGCAGACTCAAGCAAAAGTGAGTATTTAAAAAAATATTTTTGAAATATTTATATATTTTTTAAATCTTGAATATAGACCTAGTGTTCATTAAAAAAAAAAAGCTTCGATCAGCGAATTTAGTTCATGATTATCTGTTATGAATTGCATGGGTGCATTTTTTTGGCTTTAAAAATAGGATCTTAGCAGATTTTCTATTGTCTATTGTTTTCGATAAGGTCAGGGACATATTGATAGCCTCCTGCCATTTTCTGTTGGCTTTTTGATAAACACTAGACCTTTCTTCGCTATGATTGGTTCAATTTCATCAGCCTATATTAGAAAATTAGTTCTGTTTGCATTTCTGTTAGCGTCATTCTGCAGCAAAACCCTTTTAAAAACACAACTGCACGCAGATATTATTGCAGTTATTCATTATTTTTTTGGTACTTAAATCGTAATTGAATAATTCACTTTTATAAATGTTTTTGAACTATTCTTATTAGCTCTTGAGCATAAAAAAGAAACCAGTTATCTCCCTGCTGAATGATGTCATTACCAATTCTATCTTTGTTCAGGGAGTTCCCTGACCTCTGCAGCAATCTTTAGTGGTATCTATTTTCTTTGTCCAAAATGAAAGTGAAAGAAAAGAAAATGATAAAGAATGAAATTTGTTTGGGCAGATTACATTAGGGGATATTTTCTTTCGGTATGAGCCAATCAGCTTTTTCATGCTTGAATTGATTAAAATGTTTGGATTGACATGCCTTTTAATGCCCAAACTCGTAAACAAAGAAATAGTATTGAACTCTATGAAATGACACGTGCTCTTAATACTCTAGGAAATGATGTAATGTCCTGAAGTAAAAAATATAGGAATTAAAAATGTAACACATTCTTAGTTGATCAACCAGTGCTTTGATTTAACAAATAAAATAATTTGGATACTACGCGTGCTATGATTGGTTGAAAACCATGTTTGATGAGAGTATCAAAACATGCTCCCATCATTTTATATCTATCGCATGCTCTCATTGGTCAGTTTGAATAAGACGGCACGTAGGGAGAATTTACTTTGACTTTGCTTTTTTTCGATCTTTTCGCACGTTTGTTATTTTATAAAACAGATCAAAAACAGTTTTCCGTGTTTGATACTCTGATCAAAACACTTGGGATGTTGGGAGAACACTCGAGAAGCTGGAAACCACTCCTAGCATCTTTATTTATAGTGATGTAATTTTATTTTTTTAGAATTTCATTTGAAGACATCACTAAAATGAATTTGTCTGAGGAACGCCTTATTCTGGTAACGAAGAAACCACTTGCAGAAAGCCGCTACAACTTTATCCACTTCTTTTTACCAAACAGCGAAGGAGCTAAAGCAATGCATAAAGCTGTTCTGGAACACCAACTATTCTTCTTTTCTCCTAAAGTTCGCAAATCTGTAGTTAACCACTACCTACTTTCCATGCCGTGCTGGGCTTTACCGGCGAAATGGTTGACCAAGATTCCGTCCAAGGAACTTTATCATTTAGATGTGAAACTGACAAGACGGCAGTCATATGATCAACATTATGGAACAATTATTCAGGACTTTGATAATAAGCATACAATGCACGAGTGGCTACCGAAATGTGCAAAATGCAAAGTCAAGGAGTCTAACACCATATTCTGTCCATGTGGACATGTTTTATTTTGTTCGGATTGTGCTGCTGATGAAGTATTCTGTCAGGTCTGCAATGAACCTGTCACGGCATGCCAGAAGGTATTCTTTGCTATGGACACAAATGACAATGATTGGACCTGCCAAATCTGCATGGATGATGTTGTCAACACTGTTTTCTGCCCTTGTGGACATGTTTACTGTTGTGAAGAATGTGCCTCTAGCCTTACTTACTGTCCTCTTTGCAAAACATTTGCAACTTATGTCCAGAGAGTCCATGTGGAATTTCCACAAACAGAAATGTGAATATCATGCTTGACCTGCCTCTAGGCCATTATATACTAGACATATTATATACTAGGCCATTTAATTATTGTGCATTAATGGACTACATGTACTTCGTCGATGCAGCAGCCATGTTGATTCACAAGGTGTCATGGGTTATCCAGAGGGCCACCAAAACAAAAATGCTGAATTAACAACCCCTTGATATTGGAGAAATATTCTCAGCTGTGGAACTGTCCATTTTTTTTAGATTCACCTCTTGTCAAATTGCATGAAACATAAGGAACTGTTCATTAATTATACCTT